TCTATCTCAGTAATTATAAATAAATAAATAAAAGCTGGTGCCAGCCATCAAGAGAATGAATAGCCAACCGCCTTTACTCAAAGTCGGGCTTCTCAGGGTAGGTACATCCAGGCCTTTGGATGATAACGTTTGCTTCATAGCAACCCGCTCTAATGCATTCTGCAATCGGCTTTTCCTGGACCAACTGTGAGATGAATCCTCCCACAAATGCATCACCTGCACCATTAGTGTCAACAAGTTTCTCCTTCGGCAAAGTTATCACAGGATACAACTTCACTTTCCCGTCCTCTGCTACGACAACTGGATCTGCACCCTGAGTGATGATAGTGATCCAATTGTGTGTTTCTGATACCTTAGCCCACTGTGAAATTTTCAGTGCTATTTCTTCAACATTATCAGTCTCCCAACCATGAACTTTAGAAAAGGTTCTCACCTCTGTCTCATTTCCAAAGATATAGTCCACATACGACAATGCCTTCTCTTGTACTTCCCAGAAAAACTCACAAATAAATGGTGCAGACAGGTTCATCATGAACAACTTGTTGTTGGCAGCTGCATGCTCAGCAACAAGCATAATGGATTCTGGGGAAACAGTAAGGAAGAATCAAGCAATGTAGTAGTACTTGGCCTTCTCAACCAAAGCCCAATTTTCAGGTCTCTTCAAATGTTCAGATTTGTAGCAATTTACAGCAGCCAAGTTGGCTATGAGAGACCTCTCACCATCATGAACACAAACAAAACAAGTACCCGTTACCGTAGTCTCATGCTCATAATAGTGAACCTTAACACCAGCTTCTTTAGCATTTTTCTTCATCTCTTCCCCAAACTTGTCCTTTCCAATACAACCCATGAAACTGGTGGCACCCGGTTTTTGAAGCATCCACTGAGCAACCTTGATTGAATTCTAAGTTGCACCTCCAGCAATGTAATCAACATTGTACTTGGATGTCATTTCTTCATACATAGGCAAGTGCTTTTCATCGGCAAGAATTGCATCGTTCAGCTTGACATCGTACTTCTTCAAGAATTCATGGTCGACGACAGCAGAAATGTCGAGGAGTGGGTTACCTCTCCCCAAGAGAATTCTGTCGCACTCCATTTTTCCCTAATTGTTTGATTGAAGAGAATCTTGCAATCTTTGAGTGAAAGGGCAAAAGAATGCAGTTTGTGTGAGACCGAATACCACACCTTTTAAGATAAAAAAACTTAAGAAAATACTACATGTAACTTGGAAAAGGACAAGTAGAACTAATAATACTAATTGTTTTACTTTTAAAAGAAAATTTATAACTAGAAATAATATTGGTTGTTGCCTTCAGATAAAGAATATGGTTGCAAAGTCATGAACAATATAGACTTGTTGAGAAATAAAAATAGCTCCAAATTGTAGAATATATCACTATATATATGAGACTTGTTCAAGACCTAAATTGTACGAAAAAGAAGATCAAATAGACTTAAATAACTTGCTTTGAGAATAAAATTTACAGATTAAACACAATTCAATGCACAAATGGAAAGTTCAGTTTTCAATTGCAGCTTAATTATTCACGAATCAAGTACATTAACACCAATTACCATTAAAACATTTCATCGAACAAGCCGCAGGCATAATCTAAGTTCACAAACTAACAAACAAGTTACAAGCAAAACATGAACTCAATATATATTTCGACAAAGAGTCAGCACACATAGTATAAGTACACATTAAAATTACGTTACACGATTCTTACATGATCAATAAGGCAAAAATAATAAAAAAGTAATTGTAGAAAACGAAGTTCATGTTTTAGTTAGCAGGATACAAAACTTGTTATCATTCAAACTAATATTACTTAATTTTGTAGTTGATGATGAAATGCCTGAAAATCTGGAATCTAGTCGATCTAGTTGAGATGGAAACTGCAATTCGGAAAGAAAAACACTGTTGAATTCATCTGTGTCTGATTTTGAGGATGATTATCAATAGAGTGATTAGGAAGGAGATAAAAGATAAGATTGGGTACTGCAATGAAGATTAATGGAGATGTAAATGAAGATGAGGATTAGAGTGATTACGGAAGAAGTCAAGTTCAGGGCACCGGACTTAGATAGAGAAGTCTTCACGACTAAGGTCATAGACTCGATCTCTCCATTGGCCAGTCATCATCACTAAGAATTGGTCTTGTACGGCGCTGCACTCGCTAGACGCACCAGTGTTCCTCTATGGAATTGCCGCCATGAAATCGATCTGAAGAAGGTCGGATGGAAATTGGAGAGCTAATTGAGGAAGAGAGAGAACGAATAGACCAAACTTACGGATCGTTGAAAGAAGATTTTATTTGTTATATATAAAAAGGCATAAAGTTTGTGGAATTTACGAAGATGCCATTAATGAAGAGCGGTAGGTTAAGTCTATCGCACGGTCCAGAATCCTTGATCGGAGGGTTCAAAATACTTCTCATTTTTCAGCTTAGGAAGCACTTCTCATAGGATCCTCTCTCTCTCTCTCTCTCTCTCTCTATATATATATATATATATATATATATATATATATATATATATATATATATATATGTATATATGTATATATAAGATATCAAATACAAATCATGCTTAAAATACTAACCTAAAAATTCAATAATATGCATCACTTTGAACTTCAATATGCAGTAAAAATAATGTAAATATGCAGGGGTGGGATCACATACAAACTAGTATTCTCATTCAAATAATTTTTACATTATTTGTATTGCACATTGAGGTTCAAACTGTTTCATATTATTCAAGCCATAAAATAGGAATTTCATATTTACATTATTTGTATTGCATATTGAAATTCAAAGAGTACATCATTACATTATTTGTACTGCATATTGAAATTCAAAGTATTGCATATTATTGAGTTTGTAGGTTAGTAAGTTAAGCATGGTTTGTATGTGATCTCTCTCTCTCTCTCTCTCTCTCTCTCTCTATATATATATATATATATATATATATATATATATATAGGGGATGATTCAAATACAAAAAGGTCTTCCCATGCAAAGTGAGAATTAATCTCGTGCATTCATTTTCAGATCTAATGGCTCAAAATGAGCCAAAAGTGAACTAAATTTGATCAAAAACGCGGTGGCAATTTCGTAAATAAAACGAAATTTTTTGCCATTGCGAAAAAGTGCAACAGAAACACGCAAAAGTGCAACGCGGTGATGAGAACATCTTTTTATTTGATCTCTTCCCTATATATATATTTGACTAATGAGCCAAGATAAGAGGAATGACTTAGAGACTTACGACTACATATTTAAGTAGGGGTGCAAACGAGCCGAGCTGAGCTGGGCTGAGCCCAAGTTTATGTAAGCTCGAGCTCGAAATATATTGTATTGACTCGAGCTCCAGCTCAGCTCAACCGAGCTTAAAAAATCCGGGCTCAAGCTCGACTCGCAAATATTGACATGGCTCGATTCGGCTCGATAATTTTGGTTCGTCAACTCAAATGTTACAAGTATGAAACAAGCTTTGAATATTTGTGCTTAGTATTTGAAAATTGAAATTTACATGTCCAACAACTAAAAGTAGAGTAAATGTTGTTCAAAATAAATAAAAAATGATCAAACCATGATGATTTAGCTGAAACTATGGATGGACTCGGGCCGGGTGGCCCGACCCGGAACCGGCCCGGGACCGATACTGTTCCGGCCCGGCCCGACCCGGTGGCCCGGTCAGTGACCGGTCCGGGTAGGCCCGACTCGTGGGTTTTCCGGTCCGGGCTCGGGTCACCCAAAACAAGGCCCGACCCGGCCGGATTCGGGCCAAAACTATTTTTTTTCAATTTTTTTAAAGTTTTCGAGTTGGACTGGGTATTTTGGGTCATTTGGGGTGGTTTGGGGGGTTGGGGGTGGGAGGGGGGTTAATTAGGAAGAGGGAAAACAAAAATTGATAATGGGCCCAACTCGGCCCGGCCCCGAACCGGACCCGATGGTTACCCGGGCCGGTCCCGGGTCCACCACTTCTGAACCGCCGGCTCGCCCGGGCCTATGCCCAACCCGGACCCGAGTCCATCCCGAGCTAAAACTAGAGTTACAAGAACAAAAAATATAATATCTCCCGATCCTCATATAAATTTACCAATCAGTATTATATATACTAATATATACTATCCCCGTTTCATAAAAATTGCAACAATTTGACTTTCACATTTGCCAACGTGCAACTTTGACTGTAATTATATTTATTTACGTATTAGTAAACATTAAAAAAAGTTAATATATTGGAAATTTACATTATTAGATATTTATTAATATTTTATACATAATATTTTTATTATATATATTATTAGAAAACCGTAGTCAAAATAAGGTGTGTGAATAGTGTAGAAATTTCAATGTTGCAACTTTTATGGAACGGAGGAAATATTATATATTATTAATTTATATTAATATTATGTATATATTAAATATATAAAAATACACACTTATAAAACTAGGCTCGCGAACCGGCCAGCGAGCTAGCGAGCCTAAAATTAGTAGGCTCGTTTAGAGATATTATCTAAAATAAGACTAAAACAGTTTGAAAATTCCAAAATAGGACTGCCATGTTTTTATTCCCAAAATAGGACTAATTACTGTCATGTTTTGGCAGTACCAGACTTCAAACATGGCAGTACTTTATAAAATGGCAGTAATTAGTCCTATTTTGGGAATAAAAACATGACAGTCCTATTTTGGAATTTTGAAACTGTTTTAGTCCTATTTCGGGAACTTTCCCGCTCGTTTATGGCTCGACTGCTTAACGAGCCGGGCTCAAGCTCGAGTTTGACCGAACTTGATTCGAGCTTTGACCGAGCAACTCACGAGTGACTCGGCTCATTTGCACCCCTATATTTAAGGAAATGTTAGGAAATGCAATTTGAGCCTTTTTGTCTAGCTTTTCTCATCGAAGTTCTTCGTTTTGCCCAAAAACATCACTAAAGAAACACGAAAACAAGTCATGCGGACCTGGGGGCTGGGGCAGGATGTAGGATGAAGAGCCAACGTATGAAAATGGAACAATAAAACCGAGATAACTTATGCATAAATGTCCTCAGTGGGTAAAAAGAAACTTGCAACAACGTTTGCCAAGCATCGCCTATGGAACACACTTCGAACTTCAAAGCAAGCAATATGTTAATAAGAGGATGTGTGTTCATAGACGAACGTTATCTATGAAACCAAACAGAGCTGTGGACAAGAAGACTATCTATGACCAACCAAACACATAATCTAACACATACACCAACGCGATGGATAAGGGGTACAGAGAAAACGCTATGAAGGAAGTCCAGAGCGGGAATGTTGAACGAGTACTCCCGAAAATACCCATCACAATGCACACTATAAGAATTACCAGAACTTCGGAAGAGAAGTCCCATGTTAATCCTCTGGCATAAACAAGAGCCAGGAATACTGAAAGGCAAAGGACGTTGTTCATAGTTGCTGCTCCATATAACTGCAAGAAAAGAAGAAACAAAAACTCATAAACTTTGTTCAGGGGAATAGGATTCATTGCGATGAAAATGTATTCCTGGAAAATAAGTCGTATTTCTAACAGAATAGCTATACACTGATACACAACACTATTTCACGAAAATAAATTCCCTTTTTCAATGTTTTATGTATAATATTTTCTGGTCCGGAGCAATGAAAATTACTCAAATGTGCCTAAGGTTCCCCAAAAACTTAGGATAAAACATTAGAAATTGTTTCCCCCAAAACAATGGAGCCTTAAGGTTGGTTGTGTTAAGGGGGGATAGTAAAGAAGAATCTAGTTTCATTAATGCAAATTAAGACTATACAATAGAAACATATAAATCAAACTACTTCCCCTCTACTCTATTTTCCTTGTTACTTTCTTTCCCTGGCGTTTTTGTGAGTTCCAAACAGACCCTATAACAAGACCTACAGAGGAAAGACACAGACCTCAGAAAACGTTAAAGAAGCAGATTTAAGCTTTTTCCTGCTGGCGAAGATGATGGCAGAGACAGCCTCGCTTGAGTTAGTTGCCAACGGTAAGGCAATGAAGGAAATGAAGAAAGTCGGGATATTTGTGGCACTAGAGAAATTATCAACTGCGTCTACCAGAGGATCAGCAAAAGAAGCTGCAATGGCTGTCCCGAGCAACAAGAACAATACAGCCTTAATTGAGGTCCATTTCGGACTATCAATTACCTCATCTCCTTCATCACTTTGGTTCCCTCCAGTGCCTAATAGATAGTGCTCCCTTCTAGTTTGCTGCAAAACAATCCATACTCATGAGGCTTAAATCTGTTCTTCGTCGCTGCTCATATGCTGTTTTTTCCGTTTAGGTTCCTGTATTATTATTATTTTTTGTAATTCAACCCACGAATTACACTGTTTTACTTCAACTCTGACAACCTCTACTCATTTCATTTTCATTTACCCCAGTGCCGCAAAGGCTCCCACCTACGGTGGGGTAAGGGGGGGTCGGATGTACGCAGTCTTACCCCTGTACTAAAGCAGGGAGAGACTGTTTCCGGATGACCCATAGTGAAAATCTCGTCCAAAATTGCATGGACTGACTGCTGCTTCATAACAAAGAAGCGCAGACAGTTTAGTGAGCCATTTTGCTTTATTCCATCATAATCTCAAGCCAAAAAATAATGAATCTTTGGCTCCATTGAAAATGATGGAAAATCTGACAACCTCTACTAAAAACAAAAAAAATGAAAATTGCTAGTCAATTGTCTGTCAATTTTTTTAAGGTAAAACCAATCATTGAGGGTATGTTTGGAACTCTGGATTCCTAAAATCGCTAGGTAAAGGGGGAAATGATATTAAAAAAGAATTTTGAGTTTTGTTTTACCTCGGGAAATGGAAAGAATAATGGATTGTGAGTAATGTTTTAGAAAAATCGCTCATATGGTTTAGATTTCTAGTCTTTATAAGAGGGAAATAAATAAATAAAATGAGTTTGAATAAAGATAAAATTATTTTTAGTGAGTTGGAACCACCCCCGCCCCCAAACATTCCCTTTATTTCAAAATTTCCCCTATTTTTACCTTCCTAAGTTCTTTACCTAGTTTTTTCAGAGTTCTAAATGGGCTATTAAAAACACTATTTCCCTTAGCATTTTGTCTGATTCTCTTCGATTTTCATGCGTTCTAAAAAGGAGCAATTTGACTTTGCACCATGTTTTAAAAAATTAATGTGCACCTCATATGTTCAAAAATATGTTGAAGAATCGGATGGAAAAATGATTTTTTAAATAAATCTGGTGCACATATTACTTTTTCGGAAAATGGGGTGCAAAGCCCAATTCCGTACAATAAGAATTGAGCGTAAAGTCCAATTCCACCTTCCAAAAATAACCCTGGCGTGTTGGTAGGAATTGTTATACAAATAATTGTTACAACTTACAAGAAACCATCAGGTAAAAGTGTACACAGCAAAACAAACCTCATGGTAATCCTCAAGATACTTAAATGTTCCTGGTGCAGCTCTGGAAGCTTGAACCTCATCTAGCCATTTATCAACTCCAGAAACAAACTCTTCAAAATCAACTTCATTGTTATTTGAGGAGTCAAAATCCTTCATAAGATTCGCTATAGCATCATTTTCTTCTAGGTTAATCTCTTCAAGACGGATTCCCACAAGCAAGGCTCGCAATTCAGAATGCGAGAGTTTGTCATCCCCGTTAGAATCTATAGTATTAAAGAGCCTGGCATCAAAGTCCATAGCATCAAGTCAGAATTCTGGAGTTATATCATTATGTTCTTCTTGCCTTTCTTTTCTTTTGTTTTAAATGGTATTAGGATTGGGATTTCATAGATAACCTTACTTTCTCAAAACTACACGATCGGGTACTCCATTTTCTGTGTAAAGCCTCCCTAATGCATGCCTTTTCAAATGTTTCAGAACTCCAGATATGACATGTTTTTGCTTTAAATACGCAAGTCGCCTTTCTTGTATCCAAGGCTGAAAGATCTGCACATGCAAATTGAAAGAGAATCTCAGAGGAATAGTTTTGTAGAAAAGATGATGAAAACTCAATTAAGATAATAGCATGAAAAAAACAACACAAATCCACTAACTAACAAACCATGTTGAAAGGAAGAAGGCTTAAGACGCATTGAAAGTAATCTCCCCCCCCCTGTAATTATATCATCATAATTGAGCTTAATCTAAATAATATTACATATGAAATACAGAAAATTGTTCAAATATATACATTATAAACGGGTCATTTTCTACATACATATGTGCCCACACAAGAGAGTGTGTTTGGTTAGTATTTTTTGTCAGCAAGATGGTGTTCTCAATTACATATTGTGGTATAGATTAGTATTTAGTAGTACAATATGTATTTTGAGATATACATATGTAAGGAAAATAAAATGACTATATAGTAGTCAAAACCATTACGAGCACAAGAACTTGAATCGCAGACAGGACAAATTTCAAGGCACCTATACCAATGTGATAGAGAGAACTTAGCCAACTCTACATGACTACATATCAAGCTACCTGATAAACGCAATAGGTGACAAAAAGTGAAACCGACAGTATGAGACCAATTAAAACAGCTAAGTGCCTTCCTGAGGAAGAATGGAGCATCTGCGGAAGTTGCACAATCACAAATGGCATCACGGAGACCGCCATGATAATTGCAGCATAGCTAGTCCACAAATCAGTGGTAACCCCAGAGCCTACAAAAATGAGCCAACTTTAACTATAGAGTGATCTTACATGTGATACAGATATATTCAAATACAGGGAATAATCTAAAAGCAAATTTAGAGTGATCTCGCATATTTTATTATATAATAATTTCCTAAAAGATTTTTTAAATGAACAAAAATGTCATAAAATAAGTGGCCGTTTGAAGGACATATGTTTTGCAAATCAATAATTTAATTTACTGTGTGCATTGAATTGGGAATATGATGGAGAATATGATGGAATAAAGAAAAATGACTCACTAAACTGTCTGCGCTTCTTTGTTATGAAACAACGGTCAGTCCAAGCAATTTTGGACGTGATGTTCACTATGGGTCATCCGGAAACAGTCTCTTTGTGCTTTAGTACAGGGGTAAACTGCGTACATCCGACCCCCTTACCCCACCGTAGGTGGGAGCCTTTGCGGCACTGGGTTGATGATGATGATGATGTGCATTGAATTGGGAAATAATTCAATGGCTGACAAAGTAGTAGGCATTTAGGGAAAGTTTTGCTGAAGTTGCCCACAGATGACCAATTTAAACTATTTTATACCACATTCGTCCTGCTGCACATAGTTAGTTACCGTTTAAAATGGATGACAAAGTTTATTCATCCTTGACAATATCTAAATTTCTTTCAGTGTTTAAAATTTAGCTATTTCTAAACTACACTAAAAGCTCCATTGAATCGCAAAAACAAAATAAATTTTAAAAGAATTGATACCCAAAATATTAAAAAAGAAAGAATTTTGTTGGCCACATGAATATTAAACTGGCAAAATCAAGCAATTTCATCAATACTGGTTAGGGTTTGGAAATTTTAACTTCAAACATTTCAGCAAAAATTCACCCTTGGTAAACGGACCCTATCACCCTAAGGAGCAGTTCTAATCATCTTAATCGTATTGCTCTATTCTAATTTTATTCATATCAGATCACATTAGAAAGAAATAAAAACCAGATAAAAAATTCAAGTCATATTTTTGGCAATTAAAGTTTCATGAAGTCATATTTGGGAAATCCACCCTAATAATAATAATAATACTGAACATTTAATCGGATCAGATCAAAACTTAAAATTCAGATTATGGGAACAAGGTGCTTTTGCGTGCCAAATTATGGAAGGGTAGAAACTAAAAAACGAAAAGGACGAGGAAACAAGCAAATGCATAAGCATGTGGTACGTATGGGTCCACGTTAAGAAAGTACTTCCTCCGTAACATTCATATCTTCCCACATTCCTTTTTCGTCCATAACATTCATATCTTCCCATCTCTAATTCATGCCCTCAATAATTTTAAAAATAATACACTATTACAACTACTTTGTTTAGATTTATTTTTCATTCCACCACACTATTTTATTATCTTCGCATCATACCCTCAATAATTTATATTATCTTTCACTGTTTTTAATTTCACCTACTTTTAAAAGATATACTCCCTCCGTCCCCAATGAACTTCACAGTTTGACCTACACACATTAAGGAAATAAACTTACCATGGGGTAAGTTTTACTGTTTTTACACTGTTTCGACACTGTTTGGCACTATTTTGCACTGTTTCGACACTGTTTGGCACTGTTTTGTACTGTTTGACACTGTTTTGATGTAGATTAACTTGTCATTTAAGGAAATAAGAACTTGTTTCTGGGACATAGAAAAAAGGAAAGTGGGAAGTTCATTAAGGGACGGAGGGAGTATATGTTAGGGAGGTTGTAGAAAATTAAGACGAAGAGGCAGACCTGTGAGGCTGAACCCTTTAGTGTCTTTGGAGTCGACAGCAACAGAGTTTTGAATGTCACACTTCCCTACCAAAATACAGGTTCCCCATATCACTGTGAGAAGCATCACAGTTGACCCTGCTAACAATCCCATTCCAACAGAAACCTGACTTTGAGCTTCTGAAACACTTCCCGATAATCCAGACACTGACATGTTCAATTACACAGCAAACGTCAGAGTAGTTGGCCGGATTTCAAAGAAAAATTGACCTGAGGCTAATTCAGATAGACAATATATTTCGTTTGTTCAATGAAATGAAGATGGATGAGAATGATAAACCCTTCATGAAATGTACTATCGTATAACGTAATTACTCATGACTAGCATAGCGGGAAAAACAATTTATACCTAAGATGAGCATAGCATCAGGAAGAGCACCGAGCATAGGGAGGAAGAGACCGCCAATAAGACCGGGACCGAGAATCTCAAGCAGCAGCTCACTGCCGGAGGACAGGTAGGTGGCGGCAAGGAACATGAGGTATCCATAGATGAGAATCAGGAAAAGGTTTCCCAGAGCAGTGTTCGTACAAGGCAAAAAGCCGTAGGTCTGCCCGCAAATCTCCTCTGTAGCCTCGAAAACTGGGTGGATTATATCCGATCCGCGATCAGCGCCGTATAACCCGTCCGACAAGAGATCGGAAGAACGGTCGACGATGAAGCGAGCGTGAGCGGCAAAGGAGAGGGTGAGGAGGAGGAGGAGCGGGAGGGATGCCATCAGCAGCGATTTCGCAGCCATGATTTGCAGTGGAGGTTAGATGGAGCGGGCAATTGATGGAAACTGGAGGGAGTAGTTACTCGGTGTTAAGATGGAACGGGACGTTGCAGCATCCCCTGGGCTCCACAACCATTTACGGTTGAAAAATCGTAAAGTTAAGCACTTTTTTGTTTACACACTTTTTACACATGTTTGTGTAAGGGTTTTTTTATGTCTGTACAGACATAACGTATTTTAAAAAGTGTAAAAATACGTTATGTCTGTACAGGCATAAAAAAACCTTACACAAACATGTGTAAAAAGTGTGTAAACAAAAAAGTGTGTACCCCAAGTCCAACTCTTTATAGTTAGTACTAGCGGGTACGCACTAGTGCTAATAATGCCCAACATTTGCATATCTCTCAACACATTATTGTGTGGTAATCTTCATTTGAAATTTTTTTCAACTCGAAATCTGCAATGTTTCTTTATAGACAATAACACTAAAAATGCAACCTAAGTTTTTATTAATTTTTTGAATAATATTAATTTAAAGTTCATCGCAACAAAACAACTCTTTGAAATGACAACTTCTAATACTTCTTCAAGAGAACCTGAAAAAAAGTTAACTCCGTTTGTAAAATAGAGTAACTTTATTCACTAGTCATTTGTTAATAAAAAAAGAAATAATAGTTCATCACAACAATATACGTAGTAGTAAATTAGTCACACTAAATATTATTTGAATTTAGTTATGAATTTATTTTCTTTGATGATAAAGTGTTTCAATTTATATATTCCGTAGTAACTTTTTTTATTTGTACTCATTTTTAATTCTTTTATTTCCTTTGTGATTTGTTTCACAAGGTTGTATTATTTGAAGGAAATACAATATAGATGATTAGGTTAGTAAGTTGGTCACATACATTTAGAATAAACTCATGCATTTTTTGAGAATCAAAGATTACCCTAAATGCCTAAGAGTTATTTAGAGAAGAAGTTTAAAGGGATACAGGACACCTTAAAGTTTGGACTACCTTAAAGTTTAAAAACATGTGTTAGACCTGATTAGTTGTGTAGTGGCCTGGGTACTAATTTGTTAGGCCTATGCTTTCCTCGCTGATTTCAACAACTAAAAAAGTTGAACATGGTTTGTTTTTATCTAATTCAATTGCAGTGGTTTTGCCGAACTGTGTTTATCTAAAAATTAGTTATAAAATAGACACTAAAGCATCCTCTCGATCGAGGAAAAAGCATCACAGAAGACCTTAATAAAGATAACACCTAAGTTGAGGTGTAGTACATTTTTTTAAGTGGTAAATTTGTAAATGTCTATTTCAGTGTAAGCTATTTTAACATACGTTAAAAAATTTTCAAATGCAAAGATCACAAGTGAGTAAAATTTGAAAATGGTGTTTAAAAATAGCAATCTTTTAAGTCACTAAAATTTGAAAATGAGAATAAGAAAGTTTCACCGAGTAAATATGCTTGTACTACAGAAGATTCATTTGGGTAGTTAATATTAAAAATCAAAACAAATAAAATGAATTGATTCTTAGTGAAAATAGTGATAAATCCTTTAATCTATAATGCATTATATGGACTCAATTGATCTCATATAGAGTCATCCACTTTATCTAATGAATTCACAACATTATATAGTTCTTTTAAAACATTCAAAATTTTCAAAGGTATTTACACCAATCTTTCATTAATATGCAAGTCAACCCAAAAAGTGCAGGGAAATTTTCAGAAGGAAAGAACATTATAAAATGAGGAATAGCAGAACACATGAACCCATTAAGAAGACCAAAAGAGACTAAATTCTTCGTTCTTTCATATGTAAATATACCCTAGGACTTTTTGAAGTTAATCTGGAAAACTATTTTAGAAGGTATGCCAGGATGATATGGGTTGATATTCCAGGATGATCCTAGTACTCAAGCAACACATTGAGCAAGCAAGTAGAACCATGTATAGGTGACTGTCCAAACCTTTAAGTCTATTGGTTTTACAAGTTTCCTCTCTTAAATAAAAACAAATAAAAGGAATATGACTTTTACGATAAAGCTCTATTTTCGGACAAGTTTTTGACATTTTCAGAATTCACTACAGTAAAATTAGAAATTGACGTCATTGAAGGTTTTGAAAAACCAAACATCTTCTCAAAATTAAAACATGTTGTGGTTTATAAAATCATTTTGATATTTGAAGCTGATATTGAAAGGGCATATCCGAATTTTAAAAATGCTCAGGCATTGATTAATTGTCTGACAAATATCAGTCTCCTTTAAATTAGCTCTCAGTAACTAATAAATTTGTAAAGTTCCCTTGTGTTTAGAAATTAGAACCATAGCTTTTGTGGGACCACATGAGATATGGTTTGAGCACATATGTTGTCCAATTCGTCTGTGTTGACAGTTTGCCAATATAGACACTGAAACACTCTTCTCATAAAAAAAAGCATAACAGAGTGTTAGGTGTGTTTCGAAAAACAAAGAAAATTAATTAATAAAGATTAATTAAATAAAATGACTTAAACACAAACAAGAAATGAGATGAAGCAGAATAAGCCAAAGCTCGTGCTACGCACGATTTCCTTAAAACGTATTCGTTGCCTCCCGGGGTGTTAGGAGCATTGCAACGATCGTTTCCCAGGATACGATGACTTCGAACAATAGTTTAGCACTCAAACTAAAGTTCCAACGAACGTGAACAAAAGCAGAACACCGAAGGAATTTGTATGGAGTGCTAGAGGTGTTGTTTTAGCTATGAAAATACGTGAACGAAGTGAATGAAAGGTCGTTTCTTTGCAAAGCACCTACTAGCCTTTTATAGGGGTGGATTAAGGTGTGTTAATGGCTGTTTAATGGTTATGATCGTTGGACATCAATGTCCTAAACGTTGGGCATTGATTCTAGTCCTTAAACAACCCAAAACAACCCAAGTCGCGGTTTTTGTTCTTCGGTTTCGGGATTTGATTCGCACCCCCCTGCGCGCGTGAGAGAGCCTTTCCCTTTAGGAATCTTAACTCCTTAGGGGGGGTTTCACTTTATAAAGGGTTCAAATTCCCTTGTGATTTTCGGTGTGGGAAAGAACCCACACTAAAACCCACATTTTCCTAGTTTTCTCCATTCCAACGGGTAAACTTCGAAAAACAATTTCTCATTCACCCGTTATCCGTTTTGAGTGTACCATATATCGAATTGTAGCCCTTAGCAAGGACAATCCGAAACCACTTTGACCCGACCCAAATCGGAAGTGGACCCCACTCAAATAATTGCCCCAAAATGACCATTTAATACACTTTTAACACACTTTTTCCAACAATCCCCCACATGAATGAAAATTGATTTTCGAGACTTAAAAAGACACGAAGATAGGAGGACACGTTGTGTTCACCGGATGATCCCTGCACACGGAGAGGTGGGTTTTATCCTTTGAACCTTCCGCTGTAAAGACACGTTTATTTACTGGCTGTCTAGTAGACTCGATGTCCTTGAACTATACTGCCGTCGTGTAAACATTGACTTGTCTTTACACAAGAGCCTTCCAACTTTGTTCCGTTCTCATGGGTGTGCCCGTTTTGGCCATGGGTCACCGTCCTGGTTCTGCAAGAGTTTCTAAAGAACTGAGCCATTACAGTTCTCCTTTGAAGCGGCCCTCTTCTCTCTCACATAGGTGATTCTTTCATGAGTATCCCGCATACTCTTCCAATGTTATCGAGTAGATCAACATTTTAGAATCATTAAAGCAAACGTTTTTTCTAACCTCGTGCGGGAGTCACTGTTTCAACGAGGAGTGGGTAGGAGTCCGGGACCCCCACAGTGACCATCCTTCGCTCTATAATTTAGTTGTCCCTTTTGAACCTAGGACCAACTAGGTTGGGTATCCACTATAGAACTTTTCAATTTACGGGCTTTAGTCCCATTCCTCGTGATAACTTCTCCAACAATTCTCTATCCAATGCCTTGGTTAGCGGATCCGCTACTTATCCTTTGACTTCACGTAGTCAACGGTGATAATACCCGTTGTGAGGAGTTGTTTAATGGTGTTATGTCTACGACGAACGTGTCTAGACTTACCATTGTAGAGATTGCTCTGTGCCCTTCCAATTTCCGCTTGACAATCACAATGTATGCATATTGGAGGGACAGGCTTCTCCCAACTTGGAATATCCTCAAGAAAATGGCGTAGCCATTCAGCCTCTTCAGTGCACTTATCCAAGGCTGTTAGCTCGGATTCCATCGTGGATCTAGCTATTAACGTTTGTTTCGAGGATTTCCACAACACGGCTGCACCTTTCAAAGTGAACACATATCCACTTGTGGATTTTGAGTCCTTAATGTCAGATATCCAACTAGTGTCGCTATACCCTTCAAGTACAGCTGGATATCTTCCATAGTGCAGTCCAAGGTTTTGGGTTTTGCGTAAATACCTCAAAACCCTCACTATTGCCTTCCAGTGTTCATCACCGGGGTTACTAGTATATCTACTAAGCTTACTAACCACAAAGGCAATATCAGGCCTGGTACAACTCATTAGATACATCAAACTTCCAATAATCCTAGCGTATTCTACTTGAGAAATACACTCTCCACGATTTTTGGTAAGATGAGTGTTTTTATCTAATGGCGTCCTTGCCTCTTGATAATCATCCTTATTAAATTTAGTAAGGATTTTATCAACGTAATGGGATTGGCTTAGCGTTAGACCGTCAGGTCCTCTAATTATTTTAATCCCAAGGATTAAATCGGCCAGCCCCATATCCTTCATGTCAAACTTAGAATTTAACATGCTTTTGGTAGAATTAATCATTTGATTATTGCTACCCATGATGAGTATATCATCCACGTATAAACATAAAATGACATAGCCGTCTACCGTGCTTTTCACATAGACGCATTTGTCACTTTCGTTTATCTTAAACCCATTAATTAACATTGCATGATCGAACTTTTCGTGCCACTGTTTAGGGGCTTGTTTCAATCCATACAATGATTTAATTATTTTACAAACCTTGTTTTCTTGGCTTGGAACACGAAAACCCTCGGGTTGTTCCATATAGATTTCTTCGTCAATATCGCCATTTAGAAAAGCGGTTTTTACGTCCATTTGATGAACTTCCAAATTCCGCAAAGCGGCAATCGCTAGTATCATCCTAATGGAATTTATTCTCGTCACGGGAGAATACGTGTCAAAGTAATCAAGGCCCTCGCGTTGCTTGTATCCCTTGATTACAAGTCTGGCCTTATACTTATCAATGGAACCGTCTGGTTTCATTTTACGTTTAAAAATCCACTTGGATCCCAAAGGTTTACATCCCGGAGGGAGATCAACCAATTCCCACGTGTGATTTTTTAGGATAGAGTCCACCTCACTTTTGATGGCTTCTTTCCACATCGGTCCTTCGGTAGACGTTACGGCTTCCGTATAAGTCCGTGGCTCATTTTCTACCAAACATGTTAGAAAATCCGGTTCATTTTCTACCATACAAGTTAGAATATTCGAATCGAATTCTACCAGGTATGTGAGAAAATCCGATCCGAAGGATTTTTCTACTCTAGCATGTTTGCTACGTCGGGGTTCGGGTTCTTCACCGGATCCCTCGCTAGTATTTTCCATAGCTACGTCAAATGTTCGTTTTGACGTGCTAGGTCCTTCGTTGGACTTACATGGAAATACATCTTCAAAGAATGAGGCATTCCTTGATTCAATTATAGTGTTTTCATGTACATCCGGATTATTCGAATCGTATACTAAAAACCGATAAGCACTACTATTTTGTGCATATCCAATAAAAATACAATCCACCGTTTTTGGACCTGTTTTTATTTTCTTAGGTGTTGGTACAAGCACTTTTGCCAAACACCCCCACACTTTTAAATATTGATAGGAAGGCCCAGGCCGTCTGCCTTTCCACAACTCGTACGGAGTTTTATCATATTTTTTTCGGGGAACCTTATTTAAAAGGTAATTGCTTGACAAGACTGCTTCGCCCCACATATTTTGTGGCAAGCCCGAACTTACTAGCATCGCGTTCATCATATCTTTCAATGTGCGATTCTTTCGTTCGGCAACACCATTTGATTGAGGTGAATAGGGTGCGGTACGTTCATGTACTATACCCACGCTCGCGCAAAAGTCACCAATTGGTGCTTCATACTCACCACCTCGATCACTTCTAACCATTTTAATCCGTCGATTAAGTTGGTTTTCCACTTCATTCTAATAAAGAATGAATTTATCGATTGCTTCGTGTTTATTTTTTAATAAATAAACATAGCTATAGCGAGTGCTATCATCGATAAAAGTAATAAAATATTTATTACCGCCACGTGTTTGTATTGATTTAAAATCACAAACGTCACTATGAATTAATTCAAGTGGCTCCATTTTTCTTTCAACCGATTTGAAAGACGTTTTCGCTAGTTTTGCCTCTACACAAACTCCACATTTGTGATTCACATCAATTGTGAATTTAGGAATGTGTTCCATGTTAATTAATCTACGTATAGAATTAAAATTAACGTGTCCTAGTCTACCATGCCACACATTGGAAGACTCAAGCAAGTAAGCAGGAGAGATTTTATTATTATTATTAATAACAGTCATTACATTGAGCTTAAACAGCCCATCAACTGCATACCCCTTCCCCACATACATTCCCGATTTGGACAAGACTAGTTTGTCCGACTCAAAGACCATGCGGAACCCATGCTTGTTCAACAAAGAGCCTGAGATCAAGTTTTTGCGTATCTCCGGGACGTACAACACATTGTTGAGAGTCAGCTCCTTGCCCGAAGTCATCTTCAGGACCACCTTGCCCATGCCTTCAACCTCGGAATGAGCAGAATTCCCCATCCACACCTTCTCACCATTTGATGGCTCAAAGGTTGTGAATAGCTCCCGGTTAGAGCAAATGTGCCGGGTTGCACCGGTGTCCACGAACCACTCCTTGGAATTGAATCCAACGAGGTTGACTTCGGTGACCACAGCCGCTAGGATGATGTCTTCATCCTTTTGCCCACCTTGCACCAAGTTGACTTGGGAGTCTTTCTTCTTCCGTGGTGCCTTGCAATCCGAGGACTTGTGTCCATTCTTGTTGCAATTGAAGCATTTTCCATTAAATTTGGGTTTGGAAACGCCTCCCTTGGGACCGAGCTTGCTCTTCCCATTATTTTTATTTTTGGAGCCTTTTGCATGCTCCACCACATTGGCCTTGGCGCCGCTAACGATTGGGAGTCTCCCATCGTTCTTCCGATTATCCTCTTCAATCCGCAGACGGAGGATCAACTGTTCCAAGTTCATTTCCTTTCGCTTATGCTTAAGGTAGTTCTTGAAATCCTTCCAAGCCGGCGACAATAAATGGATAATTGACGCCACTTGGAAAGACTCGCTAACCGTCATTCCTTCATCTCGAATTTCGTTGAAGATCATTTGCATTTCTTCAACTTGACTCAAGACCGTCTTCGAATCCACCATTTTAAAATCAAGGAATCGACCAACAACAAATTTCTTTGCACCGGCATCCTCGCTCTTATATTTGTGGTTCAAAGCATTCCATAGCTCCTTAGCCGTAGCTAATTTACTATACACGTCATACAGAGCATCATGCAGCCCGTTCAACACGTAGTTTCGGCAAAGGAAGTCAGAATGCTTCCAAGCCTCAACCGCGTTGAAAGATTGCGCATCCACCTCACCCTCGGTTACTACCGGCGCATCCTCGGTCAAGAAACGTGCAAGACCGAGAGTAGTGAGATAGAAAAGCATCTTTTGCTGCCACCTCTTGAAGTTTAACCCATTAAATTTTTCGGGTTTCTCCACAGAGTTGCTCGGCACGGTCACCATAGGGATAGCCATTTGGTTAACCAAAGCAGATGCACCGCGTTGTGAACTATTGTTCACCGGAGCTCCGCTTTCAGAGTGATTATCGTTCAAACCGTTCAAAGCATTCTGCCCAACAACATTTTCATTTTTTTGAGAAGTCATTTTTCGTTTCTTACGTTATTCTAAAGCACAGAAAAACAAGTTCGTTCACCAAGGTGACAAAGTACAAGTTTTAAGATTGTTTACCGTAGTAAAACAATCACCGAATACGTTTTAAGATTGTTGGGTGTGTTTCGAAAAACAAAGAAAATTAATTAATAAAGATTAATTAAATAAAATGACTTCAAGACAAACAAGAAATGAGACGAAGCAGAATAAGCCAAAGCTCATGCTACGTACGATTTCCTTAAAACGTATTCGTTGCCTCCCGGGGTGCTAGGAGCGTTGCAACGATCGTTTCCCAGGATACGATGACTTCGAACAATAGTTTAGCACTCAAACTAAAGTTCCAACGAACGTGAACAAAAGCAGAACACCGAAGGAGTTTGTATGGAGTGCTAGAGGTGATGTTTTAGCTATGAAAATACGTGAACGAAGTGTATGAAAGGTCGTTTCTTTGCAAAGCACCTACTAGCCTTTTATAGGGGTGGATTAAGGTGTGTTAATGGCTGTTTAAGGGTTATGATCGTTGGACATCAATGTCCTAAACGTTGGGCATTGATTCCAGTCCTTAAACAACCCAAAACGTTCATATGAAGATAGATTTTCGGACGGCATTCGTGTGCGCAGGTCGCCCGCACACGCAAGTCGCGGTTTTTGTTCTTCGGTTTCGGGATTTGATTCGCACCCCCTGCGCGCATGAGAGAGCCTTTCCCTTTAGGAATCTTAACTCCTTAGGGGGGGTTTCCCTTTATAAAGGGTTCAAATTCCCTTGTGATTTTCGGTGTGGGAAAGAACCCACACTAAAACCCACATTTTCCTAGTTTTCTCCATTCCAACGGGTAAACTTCGAAAAACAATTTCTCATTCACCCGTTATCCGTTTTGAGTGTACCATATATCGAATTGTAGCCCTTAGCAAGGACAATCCGAAACCACTTTGACCCGACCCAAATCGGAAGTGGACCCCACTCAAATAATTGCCCCAAAATGACCATTTAATACACTTTTAACACACTTTTTCCAACACAGAGGACCCTCAATTAAGAGAACATCTATGTTGAGTTGTAGCACCTTTTATTTGTTTTCTTAATTAAGTGAAAAACTTGTAAAACCAAGAGTTTAGCAGTAGTTGACTGTTGACTTCAAACAATGTTTAATTTTAGTTGAAAGTTTGTAAAACCTAGAGACAAACAGATTTACCAAGTCATTTGAAGCATAGGTGAGATAGTTCTTTTTCAAGCATGATAATACTCTATCGTTAAAAAGTGCATTCATGTATAATATTTAGACCTTCAAGGTTGTGTGTTTTTTCCAGCAAGCATGTGAGTTTAATTTATCGTCAATCCATTTCAGTAACGTATAGTTATCTAGTCTTTGTTTTTAGGTGTCTTTTATGCACAAGATGAAGACAGAAGTCACAGAACTCACAATCGTTTCTTATTTAGTGCTCTAAAAGTACCAATGAAAATTTAGACATGTAAATAAAAACCTGTGTAAACATAGGACGTCAATTGGCGTAAACATTTTGTCAAACATGTTGTAGACGACCATGATATGTGTAGCACAGAAAAATAGTTATAGTTGTGAAGAAGGTGGCTTGAGAAAGGTGTGTAGATTTAGTAAGAACGTACAGATACATTTTGCAAAATAACAGCACGACCCAAAAATTTCAGTAATCATTTCCTTTGCTAGAAGATAGAGCATTCAATAGTTTTGAAAAGCATACCTGGGGAGATCGTGAAGTTAGCAGAGTGAAAGCGGAAGAGAATTTCGGCCATGTCGTCACCCTTTTATATGTAGGAACTGTCCGTGGAAGTTTTGCGGTTGAACAATTGCACTGAATCGGCTCTTAGTAACCGCAAGACATTTAAAAAACCCTAAACGGGATGAAGACGTTGTGAGAGAGACGAATTTGTACGGAGACTATATGCAGGGCAAATAGTTGACGGAAATTGACGGAAAAGGGACCTACTAACCGTAGTTGGCGCTTATAATATAAGCAAGATAAGGCTATCCACAATACAATTTTGTAAATAAATTAAAATTTTCACCAATTTATTCATTTTCTTGTGTAGCAGAAAAATATAAAATCAACGGTAAACCGTTGTCCAGATAATCAATTATAAAAATACTGTTGCCCAAAGTCAAAAAGCTAAAACCAATTTTATTCCAAGATATTAAGAATGAACCCTGGTGAGGGTATAAATAGTTCTACAAGAAACTCTAATCAAGCTCAAATTAATTAAATCATAATTAGGCTCATACTAACTCTACTAAGTACTCTACTAATAAAATGCCCAAACCAAAACATAACAGTAACTTAATAATAATAAATAAACTATAAAGACAGATCATATCCGGCCCACGGAAGTGGGCCCAAGCCCGGTCTCGCCCCATGCTCTTCCCGCTACCTATCTCAGTATCGTCAATATATTCACTCTGTAAAGTTTTTTTAACTTTAATCTTACATTTATTATTATAGATCAATTCTTTCCATTTTTGTAAATGATTATGATTTTAAAAAAATGATGTAAAAATAAATCAATTTGAAGTTTAATTTTAATTTTGTTACTTCAAAACTACATGGGTGCCAGTCCATTAAAGTTAATACTTGTATGAATTTACGTAACGTTTGAATTATGGGTTGTAGATGGAACCTTTGAATCTTCCCGTAAAAATACATGTATACGAGTGCTAGTGTTAAAATTTATACGAAGTATATGTATATGAACAGCCAAAACTTATAAAATAAATTTTTTCAAAAAAATTCCATGCGTAGAAATATGATATAAACATATAACATACAATATATGTCTTATATATCAAATATATATATATATATATATATTAAATTATTTATTGGTAGAAATATTGAGTAATTTAATATGTGCACCACATTTTTCAACAACTAAATTTTCATCCGTGCGATGCACGAAATAAAATTTAGTAAAAAAATATCATATCGCTGATTACATTAATGTTACTCCCTCTGTCCCATATTTATCTTCATAGTTCGGTTTACGATACTTGACTGACGATAACGCAACATGATCCATGTTCACACTCATATTATTTTTAATAAATTAAATTTACATATTCAGAAACTACATTAAATCCGCTATAAAGTTTGATCAAGAAAATTTAAGTTTGATAAAAATTTGAAATATAAAATAAAAGATTAAGAGTAATTTGAGTTGACCATGTAAATAGTAACTATGAAGATAATTTTGGGACGGAGGAAGTATATCAAAGTATTGTAGAAGTATAAATTCTAAATGTGTGAAAATAGAATATGATGTATAGTATAATATGGAGTAAAAGTTAGAATATGATGTATAGTATAATATGGAGTAAAAGTTATACTTAGTACTACCTCCGTCCCATTAGAAGGTTCTCGTCCACTATTCATATGGTCAACTTAAATCATTTTTAATCTTTTACTTTATAAATCAAATTTTTATCAAATTTACATTTTTTTATCAGGCTTTGTAGCGGTTTTAATGTAGTTTCTGAATATGTAAATTTTATTTGCTAAAAATAATCAGAGTATGAACAGGGATTAAGTTACTTTATCATCAGTCAAGCATCGTAAACCGCCAACGGGAACCTACTAGCGGGACGGAGGGAGATTAAGAAGAGTCATCGTTAATGTTCAAATTTTGTTGAAGGATACGAAATAAGATTTGAAACACTTTTTTGTAAGTAATACTTCAATTGTTGTATTCATCTTTGTCAAATTTCCTTGTTTGTCTAAAAAACTTTGACACTTTTAATCTTCCAACTTTTAGGTTTCCTACTTCTCACCTAATTTGAGGTGAGAAATAAGGCTTTGTTTGTCATTATCAACATGAATCTTTATAATTGATGACATAAGAGCTATTGGCAAGAAATTGTCATCTAAGATACCAATAATATAAATGTACTTTTGGATCATTTAGTTAAAAAGATACAATTTGAATGATTAATTAATAAGATAATTACGGAGTATTACACAATGATAAATAATTCACAAAGACCATTCAACCAATAAATTACACAACAAAACAATTTCAGTTTTTTCCCAAAATAATGTCAAATAAAAAATAATTCCAAAAAAAAATTAGTTTAAAAATATTTCCCAAAATACTGCTCTCCTAAACCCTGGTCACTTGGTCAGGAGAGGCTGGCTTATGAAAAGACATACATGCACAAGTGATGCGCACGGACCAAGGATCCAAAGGAAAATATGACATGGCGGTCCCACAAAAAAATAAAATCCCATTTTTATTTAAAAGGGATATAACTTTTTTATTCGTTCTCTTATTATTACAAAAAATATATCAAAATTCATAACTTTTTATTATCTTTCATATGACACCAATATTGAATATATAAAAGTAAAAAGATAATTTAACACGTTAAAAAAATTCATAACTATATATTATATTTCAAAAGACACCAATTTTGAATATATTAAAATAAAAATATTAATTTTAATGATTTGTGAAGTTTTGGATTGTTTTTTACGGGGCACATAATTAATCAGGAGTGGTAGATTAGAATAAAAATGCATAAAGAATAAAACAATAAATAAAAGTGATGAAGTTTGTGCAGTTTTATTATAAACTATTACTCCTGATTAATTGTGTGCACGAAAAAAATGGATCCTGACTGCAAAAACTAAAAGAATTAATTTTTGAAGTTTTTATATATTCAAAATGTGTGTCTTATGAAAGATAATAAATAGTTCTGAATTTTGATATATATTTTGTAACAATCGAAGTACAAATAAAAAATATATAAAAAGGATATTTTTTAAAATGTTAATTTTTTATATATATTCAATATTAGTCTCATATGAAAGATAATAAAAAGTTGTGAATTTTGATGTATTTTTTATAAGAATCAGATCGCGAATAAAGAAGTACAAATAAAAAATATAAAAAAAGGGAAAAGTGTCAAATAAGCCCATCTACTATTATGAAAATGTCAATTAAGTCCACCAACTCAACTATCATCCAATTAAGCATGTGAACTTCTAAAAAATTGTCAAAACCGTTTTTACTAGGTAATGAACCGGTCACTGACATGTGGCGACACGTGGCATTTTCCCTTTTTCATTCTTTTTCTTTGTTTTTCTTTCTTCTCTCCTTCCTCCTTCCTCCTTCCTCCTTCCTCTCTTTTTCGTTGGCTCTTTCTTGGCCCTCTGGGTTAGCACGTTGCTGCCTCCCCGTTTCTTATTTTCCTTTCTTTCATTTTTAAATCTCACCCATTTGGCTTAATCACACCCCTAACATACCCTTGTTTCCCACTTTTCTTTGATTTTTGAATTTTGACATACCATTCAATCCATGGATAAACAAGAACAATAAGAACAATAAATAAAATTATAAATTGATGGAGAAGATCAGCATTTCATGAGACTGAAAGTTGGTAAGAGAGGATGACAACGTTCATGGAAGATGACCGGAGCTCTCTTTGCCAGAAATTGCCCGGAGAAGACGACCGGCGGTCGACCCAACTTCTATGGCTTTGCCGGAGGTTGGTTGGGGGAAGAAGACTGGCTCTCGGATCCGACTGGTGATTGCAAAATAAAGAAGGAAAGAAAGAAAGGTAAAGAAGGGAAAGAAAGAAAGAAAGGTGCATGACAAGGAAGAGGGGGAAGTGCGGGGGAAGAAAGGGGGTGGAGAAGAAAGAGAAAATAAGGAAAGAAAAGGAAAAACAAATAGAAAAAAGAAAAGGAAAAATACAAAAATTAAATGCCACATCGTATGTTTTACCTGGAACGGGAATGTTACCTACTAAAAAGCCACTTAGATTTTTTTTACTGGTTTACGGGTCTAATTGGGTGATATTTGGGTTGATGCCCTTAATTGACATTTTTGTAACAGTAGGAGAGCTTATTTGACACTTTTCCCTAAAAAAAAGATATTTTTTAAAGTGTTAAATTATTTTTTTATTTTTTTATATTCAATATTGGTGTCATATGAAAGATTATAAAAAGTTATGAATTTTGGTGTATTTTTATAAGAATCAGAGTACGAATAAACAAATTATACTCCCTCCGTCTCATAATTAACTCCGGTTTTAACCGGGCACGGGTTTTAAGATAGTGGGATTTGTGTGGTGGAGAGTTATGCAGAGGAGAGAGAAATGTGTAAGAATGATTGTGAACCACATATTCTTTATCAAAAAGGGAAAAAGGAGATAAATTTGGGACGGACCGAAAAGGAAAGAATGAAGATAATTCCGGGACAGAGGGAGTATCACTTTTAAATAAAAATGGGATTTTAATTTTGTGGGACCGCCATGTCATTTTCTCTTTGGCTGCTTGGTACGTCCGTATGCCTTAGCTGCGTATATCACTTTTATATAAGCCGCCACTTGAAGTGGCGGTTTTAATAACCAGGGTGTAGGGGAGCAGTATTTTGGAAAATATTTTTTTTAAAACTAACTTTATTTTGGGAATTATTTTTTTATTCCACATTATTTTAGGAAAAAACTCTTCATACATCAGATTTTTTAATTAAAATAAATAAACCCACAAATCGGAGCTTTTGACCTAACCCAGCCCAACTTAAAACAAATAACCCATTTGATGATAATCTCAGTATTTAATACCCAACACAAATAATGCTATTTTCCGTACTTATCATCAAGAAGAGTCACCCAGGGCCGGCTAGAGCAATTATGAGGCCCTAGACGGTCATGTAGAAATTTTGTTTTAAATATGTTTTATTTAACCCAATGATATAAAAAATAGCAATTAAATATAAGTAAATTACATATAAAATACATCATATACTATTAACACAGTGAGAATATTCTTCGAAATCAGAAGATCAAAGTTGATGAAAAAATACAAAGAGCCCTAGAGGGAGAAGGTTTTGTGCTTACGTACAACATACCGATCGATAGAGCCGGAAAGTGATTTCATTACCAAATCATTTCTTAATTTTTTTCTTTATCTTTGTACATCTTGATTCATATTTTGTTTTCCAATCATCACAAAACATAAAATTTCATTCAAAATAATACTATCACTAAATATAAGTTAATGGTTCATAGATATAAATTTAATTCACTAAATTTAATCAAATATAAAAATTATAAGTATGTTCAATATTTGGATGAATCAAAATAACAAATTACAATTTCAATTATTCAATAAGCATTCAAATATATTTAGAATACTCATTATCCTAAATCCCTAGCCCTACTGCCCTAGCCAACAAAGAAAAAAAAAGGAAAAAGAGGCAAATAAGCCCACATACTAACCAAAAAGGTCAAATAAGCCCTTGTATAAGAGACTTTGTCCGGCCGTCGCCATTTGGGGCAGTTCCCGGTGAAATGTTTTGATGAAGTTTTTTGAGAATCTTATTCATTAAGTCTTATTTATTCATACCAAATTTTAGCTAACAATTCAATGGGGAAGACATTCAAATAAATTCTTGAAGATAACTGCGCTTTTAACTGCGCAGTTATCTTCAAGAATTCATTTGAATGTCTTCCCGATTGAATTTTTAGGTGAAATTTGGTATGAGTAAACTAGACATAATGAATAAGATTCTAAAAAAATCATCAAAAAATTCCAAAGGAAACTATCCCAAATGTTGACGGCCAGACAAAGTCTCCTAAATAATACTAGTATCAATAACCTTATTTTATAAATTAGAGGCCCCTAAAATTTGGAGGCCCTAGACAATTGTCTAGGGTAACTCCCCTTATGGCTGGCCCTGGAGTCACCGGATGGTCTCTGAAGTCCTTTCTATGGCTAATTCAAGTTTCAGGTTTATGTTCGTTCCCTTCTTTGTGTGTCAATCGTAACGCGGATAATGTTAACCATTATTTTGTGCAATAGTGCAACGATGATGTTTTCCACTTTTAACTTTATTAAAAAGCCTAAAATTAAATAATTTTGCCTTTAAAGACCTAAAATGTTAATGGTTTTAACTTTTATACCCCAACTTATTTACAGCTAATGGATGGTACCATGAATCCCAACAATGGCCCAAGATTGAATTCAAGCAAAGCCCATCACGGGATTAGCCCATTAATCGGGATTAATGATAAATAATAGTCATTGGGCCTAATAAGGAATCCAACCCGCGAAAGGAACCCACAACCAGGCCGGGCTAGACAGCAGACCTCGAACCTGGACGGAGTTCTAGCGAGGTCGGACTTTTCCTAGAGCTTATGTGGCAGGTTATCATTCGAACATAGCTATCTGGCAGCGGTAGGAAATAACAGAAGGAACGTGGGCCTGAATGAAACAATCATTGCACAACGTTCGAGACGTTACATGACTCTATTCTAATCAATTACATTAAATGTATCAGTTTCCTCCTAGAATACTAGAACTTAGAGTCTATAAATACTAGCTTCTTGTACACATCCTACCAAAGATTCGAATTGCGTAATAATAATATTGCCTTACGCTGCCTAAATTTCATCTGCTTTTGAAGATTAGCTCTCGTAGTTGGATTGAACTCCATCATTTGGTGCTCTCGTTGAGAGAACGATTTACGATGACGATGATGGGATCACACAGTCACAACCGTGTTGGCAGCAATCAAGGTGGTGCTCGAATGGATCAAGTTGTGATTGAAGATGAAGGGTCACGCTCACGGCGGAGCGATTTACGGAGGAGAAAAAATAATGTGGCGACTTAAGGCGACTTGAGGAATCATCTGTAAGGTGATGGGAGTTCTAGGCGTCCGGCAACACGCCCTCCACAGTTCCAAATGCCGGCCACCGGGAATCTCATGCGAAGTGTGGATCCGACGCAAGCTTTGGCAAGTTTGGCAACATTCCAGAGGACTGTGGAAACATTAACCACTGATTTTCAAGGAATTGTTTCCAACACAAATGAAAGACCTACTTCCCCACGCCAGGCTCCATCTGTGCCTCGACGGGAGGAGGAAGTGTCCGCGCAGCGACAAAGGAATTCACCTCCGGCAAAGTCTCAACGGTCTCATCATTCCAGACAGAACCCGAGGGCTTCGGTGATGGACCGGATTGGAGGACGGAGGGTCTCTGTGAATGATAGGCTCTCCTCCAGGGTGGGACGAAGCGATGAAGCATCTTTCGTGGCTGTTTGCTCCCACAGCCGCAGTGCACGTGGGGGAGATCTCAGAGATGAGATTAACGCACATCGGCGAGCCCGCTGAGATTGCGCTTCCCCACCTCATGTCCAGGTCGACCAAGATAACGACGACCTCAGAAGAAGGCTTGACGAGCTCAAGAGGGCGGTGGATGGCAGGATTAACCTCAATCATGATGTGAGGATTCTCGAGTCGTTCATACATCAGATCATGGATGCTCCACTACCACAGGAGTATAAACCTTGCAATATTGAGGCCTACCGAGGGAAGACCGATCCCCGACACCATGTCTCTAGGTACATGGCCTACATGGTGATGATGAGATATGATGACGCGATCAGATGCAGAGGATTCTCGGTGACGTTAGATGGGCCATTCGGGGAATGGTATGACTCTTTACCGGACTAGAGGATCAAGAATTTCAGGGAGTTAGCCCAAGCGTTCATTGCACGATTTGCCAGCTCCAAGGACTTTAACAAGAATTTCTCTCACCTCCTGGGGGTCAAACAAAGATGCGAGGAGACCTTGACTGCCTTCCTGGCTCACTGGAGGGAGGAATCAATGAAGGTTGATGCCTTGGATGAAAGACCCGCCATCAAAATCTTTACCAACACCTTGAGGTCAGGAGAGCTCCATAAAGAATTTGTGCGACAACCTCCGACCTCGCACAAGGAGACCCTGCGGCGCGCCGACCGGAAGTCGGAAGTCGAGGAGGCAAAAAATCGGAAGAGAGAAGAGGAGGATGGAAAGCACCAAGTCGATGATGGAAAAAAGAAGAATTCTGAAAAGGAGGCCTATGACCAAGATAAAGGGAATGAGTCCAAGAGAAAAAAGAAGGGATAGGGATAGGGAAAGGGTAAGTTGGGCGTCCCCGACAGACCTCTATCAAGTCAGTCAGAGTTTCCGCCCTTGACACATCCAGTTAGCAGCGCTGGATTATGCATCCAAACAAGGCTTGGTAACATTGCCCGAAAATTGCAATGTCACCAGCAGCCAGGCTACTCGAGGTATATATTGCAAACTCCACAAGAGTGACACTCATGAAACTGATGACTTTATGTCCTAAAAAAGTAAGTGGAAAGGCTCATTCGCGAAGGTCATCTAGATCAGTTTGTGAAGAAGAACCGGCACAGGCAGCCCCCCAATAGAAGAATACATGGGTCAAGGGCAAAGACGAGCAGGCCTCAACCTCAAAAAAGAGGGAGGTCAGAGCCCAATTCGAGGATGACGATGAAGGGGAAGATTCTGGCAGGCAGAAGCGTCCACATTCAACCAGATCAATGGTGGAGCAATGGGAGAAGACTCGGTGGGGGGAAGGAAGAAGTGGAGTCGTCAGCTGTTCATCGGCGAAATCAACCGCCTCCCTGCTGACAAGAAACAGAAGCGGGAATCTATCATCTTTACTGATGACGACCCCCCACCTTGTCCTCTCCCACACAGAGATGCTCTGATAGTAAAGATGGAAGTTATGGACGCAATAGTCCATAGGGTTCTCATAGACAACGGCAGTTTAGTAAATGTGATGTACTTGGACACGTCCCTGGAGATCGGCCTCCAAAAGGAAGCCCTGCAGCCAGTGAAGACCCCCCTGTCAGGTTTTACCAGAGATGTGATTGAGCCGGAGGGAGCAATCACCCTCAAGGTTCAGCTCAGATCAGAGCCGTGTGTGCAAACGGTGGAGGCGGATTTTGTTGTAGTGTGTTTTCCAAGTGTTCACAAAGCCATTCTGGGCCGACCTCTATTGAAAGACCTGGGGGCCATCATATACCAGCCCCATGTCTACATGAAATTTCATACTTCATCCGGGATACGCACAGTAGGGGGAGACCAGAGGATGGCACGAAGTTGTTATGTGGGAGCCTACAAAGCTCATGGGAGGAATGACGTTAGGATCAATGCCATTGAACAAGACCTGTTAAAATATAAGGAGGAACAGTTTAGAGCTCAGTCCGTCTCAAAGCTCGAGGAGGTCGAAGTCAATCCCACCCGGCCAGAACGCTGGGTCAAGATTGGAGCAGAGCTGCCGACCGACCTGATCACCTTAGAGCAAGACTAATCCAAGTCTTGAGGGAGTTCAAGGTGATCTTTGTCTAGCGGTCCGAGGACATGCCCGGGCTCGACTAGAGCAAAGCAGTGCACCGACTGAACGTAAATCCTAAGGCAACTACCGTGAAATAGAAGCGAAGATACCTATCCTTAGATAGGAAAGAATTTGTGAAGGGGGAAGTGAGCATGTTGTTAGGCATCAAACATAT